CAGCGATCATGAATATATCGTAGTGTTAGTAAATTGTGTTTTGATAGCCTATCGACGTAATCTCAGTTCCGATCGGTATAATTTCTACGAATGTAAAAGCAATTATGTTTCTTCAAAACTACATCTTACCTGATATATTAAAGGCTTCGATCTCCGACTCCTTTCATTTAAGTTTTGAATATTTCAGAAATTTCTCTCATCAAAACTGAAGTTACGTCGGTCGGATGTTAAAACACAATTTACTAACACTATGATATATTCATGATCACTGATGCAACATCGTATCACTAGTGAGTGTAAAAATAATTAAAAACAAAGCATAGACTTCTAAAATCGAACTCTAGGCATTTCAACGCACTTTATATATGTGCTGACAATATTTTTCTATCAGTGGCGGAAATTGAAGTTGAATGTATTGTAATCGGTTCAACGAAATAATTAAGTATTTAGTGATATAATGGCTATTGTACTATCTTAAACGTATGTACTGTATTCGTGCTTATGGCGCTGTAAGCATTATTTGTACTTTTTTAATATCTGATGTATGTATCTTTATTGAAAGGGTACTCTGTAAAAAATAGAATGTTAATTTTAACTCAAAGACGTTGAGTTTATTTTGTGAGGCATGTAAATGTTGAAATTGATATTCCTATGTTAATGTTAACATTTTTGCATGTCTAAAAAATCCACTCAACGTCTTTTTGAGTTAATATTAACATTTTATTTTTTACAATGTAACGTCACAGAGGTATATGACGGCATCACGTAATTAATGTTAGTAAATTCCACGTAACAGGTTGTTCCAAAACATTACGATAACGTTTAATGCATCTAATTGTTGGGTATTTGCGATGACAATATATTTATTATTTAAAAAGAATTTTTAATATATTTTTATAGGGTTTTCGAAATCTTTATATATATATATATATAATGATATACTTGGCAATGTATAGAGCTCATGTTTTTTGTATAATTAATATCTTTACGTGTAATTGGCGTATCTCTTTTACCTTTGTAAAGTCTTTTTTTAATAAGATTTCACATCTTTTTGAAAAAATTAAAGAATATTGTTTTCCTTTCATTAATATCTTATTAGCAAAAGTAACCTTTTTGCTTCAACGTTGAAGAACTCGGTGAAAAAAAATCGTAAGCTTCGTAAAAAGCAAATTAAAGGTAAAGATTCGTTCTTTCGAATGATGTAAACCGTATTTGTGCACAAATTTTTGTTTCGTGCGGTGGAACTCCGCAAATTTCGTAAAAAATTTTGAGATCTTTATTTACGTTTGTGTAACTTCATAAAATCTCCGTGAGACCATTTTTTCAAGTAGCGATCTGAAGAGTAGGGGTTTCAAGATGTAAAATGCTTTTTTCAACATCTCGATACGATGATTTTTAACGAAGTTATTCTATCTTGAAATTGTCTATTTTTGCAGAGTGAAACAGATGTTACTTTAATTCTGTTGGTAATTAAAAAAAAAACGAATCAAAATTTATAGGTGAAAATCAATACCATTTTTCAAAACATTATTTTTTCAATAATGTTCGATTTTTTATTTACATTTTATGTGTAGTATAACTCAGTGATAGTATAACTCTTCCAATTTCATAATTTCTTTGGTTTTTTATTTCAATTTACATACTACAACTAATGGAATGTCAATGTGCCAAAAAGAAATATTTTAATATGTCTTGTATACCATCGCGTATCTTTTTTTATATGATACATTTGGATACGAAAAAATATTTTTAAATATCTAATTTTTATATTAAATAAAGACATTTTATATTAAATAAATTCACACATTACTGTAGCAACCTAAATTTTGCTTGACCGTCATTTGGCCTTTATTTAATTATAATTCGTAAGTACTTATGATGTAAGAAGATGTGTGTTCTCTGGACTCTGGTTTTAATAATACATAGTCCAGTCAAATTGTCATTTTGCCTTGCAAAAATTGGAAAAAGCGATTTTCTTTTTCTGGCATGTGGGGGGGGGTCTAAAAAAGTTTAACTCTAAGTTTTCGAAGTGATTAAGGAAGAGGAAAATTTTCTACGCTTAAAAACCCCCAAAAAAATTGTTTTTTAGTAACTTGGCTTCTATTGAAGATTTTTGAAGTTATAATAGCTCATTTTGTAAGTTTTTTTCATGCTCTACAAGTTATCTTTATAACTTTTTTCTCTACGATGGATAGTTCGCGAAATATTTTACTAAAAGTACGAAAATTCAGGTTAAAAAAAAGGTTAATTGGCCTTTGATCGGTCATATCTCGTTTCCTACCACATTTATCGAAAAACGGTTCAGACAAAACTTGTAGCATTTGTAAATACCTTTAATTTAAGCCGAGTCGCGATCGATTTCGTCAAATAGAACACTCTATAGAGCGGCGCAAAGTTGTAAGGTCGAGGCGTGTCGTCACGCGGAACGCGCGTAATTGCGAAACATGCTGCAGATAAATGATGTCGTCGGCTTTTTAAGTCGAAATATAGTTTCTTTTTGCATATATTTATATTTTTCTTGTGTTTAGAAATATGTAATTAAAACTTGCGTCAATATAATAATTAATAATAATTCATGCAACATTATTAATGTATAATAATTAATGTAACGCGTCGTAATGAAGTTATTAATAGTATATAATTATTTATTTCTTTGCTATTATTATTAATAATATTAATGTTAATTAATGTTAATAGTACTATTTATTGTTTCTTATTTAATATAACTCTTACGTTTTGATTCTTTTTTACATCACCGAAAAATATAATATTAATATTGATACGTAAATAAGAAACAATAAATAGTACTATTAACATTAATTAACATTAATATTATTAATAATAATAGCAAAGAAATAAATAATTATATATATTAATAATTTCATTACGACGCGTTACATTAATTATAATTAATTACAATTATTGCTATTATTATTAATAATATTAATGTTAATTAATGTTAATAGTACTATTTATTGTTTCTTATTTACGTATCAATATTAATATTATATTTTTCGGTGATGTAAAAAAGAATCAAAACGTAAGAGTTATATTAAATAAGAAACAATAAATAGTACTATTAACATTAATTAACATTAATATTATTAATAATAATAGCAAAGAAATAAATAATTATATACTATTAATAATTTCATTACGACGCGTTACATTAATTAATATACATTAATAATGTTGCATGAATTATTATTAATTATTATATTGAACATTTGTACATTTGCAGAAAACAGATGTAGAAAATTTTCCTAATATAGACATTTCAATCTATACTTAAAATTTAATGCTGATGGTTGATTGCGCTACTACCATTCGATCATATAAAAGAAAAGATATTTTCCAATACATCTTGATTTAATCGATTTGTCATCACATTTTCAATATTGGCTGTAGAATAACCGTCAAACACCGGGAGCTACCATGTTTAATCGAACCATTCGAATGATCTGATTGGCTTGAAATATGATGTCACACTTTGACTGCGCAGTGGGTGACCACAAAATGAGCATACCCTTGTATTTATACCACGACACATAATAAATATATGCCAGTAAGACGCAAGCAGTAAGCGAATTGACCAATCACAGATGTCGTAAAGCCATAACTTGAGCAATAGCAAATCCACAACGTTGATTTCCTTACTGCTTAAAAGTCTAAATGGCTTAAGATTTTAGAGAGCAATGACCTTTATACTTACATGCTGCAGTATCTCACATTTAGATAAAAATAATTAGTAATATAGGTAAGGGTAACTTATAAAAAAAAGAATTTTATTTCATAATTACTGATTTGTACTTGTTCTTTTTTTATTTTAGGTGAAGCACATCTGCCGTCGGAGAACGTCCTTAATTTAAAAATAGACATTAAACTACATTTATTTCTTTTATGTAACATACATTTATTATATTTTGGAGTCTAGCAGCGCCAAGTTTGTATCTTTACCTTTTGAAATAAAGTACATGATATAGATGTGGCAAGAAAATATATTCCTTTTACAATTGGCGCAATTTAGAGATTTAGTTCCACTTTTTGTATACTGCGTAATAACATTTGTAACGGTTTTTGTGAGGCAAACACGCACACTTGATGCTATTATTCCCTTTTTTAAAAAGATAATCTGTTGCGATATATTATAACGTCAAATTGTTTGACAACAGTTTGAAGTCGTTTTACTTCGAATTTGCAGTATTTTTTCATATAAAGATCTCTCATAAATCCAGATTGTAACTTTTCTAAAAAATATATGTATAAAGTATATTATTATTAAATCAAAGCCTAACATATTAAATATATTATTCGATTAATCAATAAGTATAAAATATATTCTTCACGTATAGCAGAGTCATATACTGGAAAATTTTTTCGAATGAGGAAATTTTGAGTAATAGCAGTTTACATAGGTTCTAACCATCAAAATGAGCTTACAGATGAGTTTGTTGCACGATTCGTTGATCGGAAGGCATTTGTTATTTAATGTTTATGCAACTTTTGACAATTTTTCGTCGTATTTCATAATAATAACCCATATACATATGCACATACACGTATGTATGTGTACACATATAAAAGATACACACATGAAGACCTTTAGTCGTTTCCAAGATCACGACATGCTTATATGAAAACAAATTATTTGAAATACAACCGTACTCTAAGTCCTCGATCTATAAGCTTAAACTGTAAGTGACATAAAGGTAATTATATCATCAAAGAAGCTAACAATTACCCAACGTCAAAGGTGTCATTCTAATTTTAAATTTCTATTACCTTATAACAAATTCTAATTTTGACACAGCTTTCTGTTACTTCCTTATAAATTTTAGTGATAACTGTCAGTTTATTAAATTTTGATATTATTAAATTTTTACATTTTTTTATGATTTTAGGTGCAAAAGTACGAAAGTAAAGTGTCTACATATTAATATAATCTACGATATTAATATAACGGAACGTTACGGCAAAGTAAATTGATAAATATATCCGGGATGGATCTGGGAATTGATTCTGAAAAGGTGAATCAAAATGAAGAAACGAATAACGCTACAATAGTGAATCAACTGTCCGGTAAGAATTATATAGCTCCTAATAAACTTATATCGTTATTAATACCTTTGTATATTACAAATTGCTCAACAAAATTAAAACGTTACATGATCCACTATGCAGAAATGGGCAAATTTCGATGTAACATAACTTTGTCAAAAGTAATATTGTTGAAATTTTACAAAAGCACTTTTAAGCTTTAAATCCGTTTTTTTGTTTTCAGATCGGTACTTCGAAAACGATATTACTAATACTTTATAAAATTACGTAGATATAAAGGATGGTGTAATAGATTTCAAAATTGTTAACGAAACTTTCGAAGTTCACCATCGCAAATTAAAAATTATGCACTAATACGGTATACAGCATTCAAATAGTAAATATTGAACTATAAATTGCCTCTCTTTCGAGTTCTAAACTCTGTTCTTTCCTTGAGTTATTCGACGTTGACGTAAAATGTACTTTTTTACTTCAACGATGAATAAACCTGTGAAAAAAGACGTACACAAGTCGAAGATAAAGCAAATAAATGTATAAAAGTCGTTTCAATCTTTCGAAAGCTGTGAACTCTCCATAATTTTTATTTTGTGTCGTGCAACATCAAAAATTACGTGTAAAATGTTAAGTTTTGTTGCATCATTATTTACTTATATAATAATTCTTTGGTAAGAAAAACTCCGATACAATTAAAAATTAACTTGGAAAGAAAAAGGTTATATGCATTATCTACATTTTGATAATTTTAATTTCATACCGTCTAACAATTGGTTGTGACCCACTGTGTCTGAGACTAACTGGCCTAAATTGTTCTAAAACCCGGTTTTGAGGGTGCTTGCGATACAGTATCATTGTGAACATAGTAAGCCTCCCTGCTCCCGGTAAAATAATCGTAATTATGATAAATCTAATTTAGAAATTATTAGTTTTCTAAGAAATTCTGGGAAATTATTTCCCTAAATTTCAGCATTATATTTATTAATTTTTCTTTTCTGCCTTTATCGTGCATATTATTGTTTCTTTAAACATCTTTTAATCTTTTTGTCAATTTTAAATTATATTTTATTTATGTAACTTTCCATTGTCTCTGAAGAAGGCTCAAAAATGAGCCGATACATGTAAGAATAAGTTTTGTAATAAATAAGTTTGCTTGATAAATATCAGCGTTTGCGTAAAGTTATCTGCGCCTAACTCCTAGTGCCCTTTTTCTTTCCAAGTTAATCATTATTTACCATATTGTAACTTCATGAAATATCAACAGCACTTTCCTCTCTGTGCAAAAAGATATCATGACGTAAAATGCTTTTTTAATCATGCCGGTACGATAATATTTGACGAAATTATTATATCTCAATGATTGCTTATTTCTGCAAATAATACTTCAATTTCGACGAATTGGGTATTTCAAAAATTATGAGATCCGTATTCCGTATTTATTCTTGACACGAACTTTTCTTAATATTCAGAGTTCTTAATATTCAAGCGCTCGAACACCCCGACTACTTCGAATCAGAATAAGACAGACATAAATAATTTAATTAGGCCATACATATGCGAAACATGTGGTAGAGAATTTCGGTTTAAATCGTGGTTGGATAGACATAAAACAATTCATACCGGCGAAAAACATTTCGAATGCGTATCTTGTAGTAAAAGATATAGGTGAGAATATAAGTGAAGAACGTAAGTTACGGTAATTCCGTAGCACTTGAGTATCAATGATTAAATTAACTGATAAAAAATAATAAATATTATAACGATCATTTACAGCCGAAAACAAATCTTAGATATGCACATGCTTGCGCAGCATAAAAATGATAAAGGTTACGAAAAATATAAGAACCTATATAATATAGGGGTGACACACACATGCGGACAGTGTCATAAAAAGTTTAAGATAAAAACGGATTTACTTAAACATAAAAGAATGCATGACGATGAAAGACCTTTTGAATGCAAATATTGTGGGTTAAGATTTACGTAAGTATTTAATTAAGCATCAAAAGTTAAACTAATTGTTTGGTTCTTCAACATAAATGCTTATATAAATTGATAAAAAATAATAAATATTGCAACGGTTGTTTTGTAGGCATAGAAGAGACCTAAATAAGCACAAGAATAAAGAGCATCCTAGTGATGAAAGGGTACAAGGATAATAAGGACCAATATGATACAAGTACGTCTCACAAATATGGAAAGTTTAATAAAGAGTTTAAGAATAAATCGGATTTCCATAAACATGAAGGAATTCATAATGTCGAAAATTCTTATGAAAGCGTATTTTGTGGAATAAGATTTAAGTGAATTATAAAAGTGAATAATAAGTATTTAATTGAATAATAAAAATTAGAGTAATTGCTTCGTTCTCCAATCTCAGTACTTAAATTAATTGGTAAAAAATAATAAATATTGCACGGTCATTTTGCAGTCAATAAGAAAGTCGAAATAGCCACGTGGAGACAAATCACTGCAATGATGAACGATACAAATCTAATGAGGGTCTATATATTGATGGTACAAACGCGGAACGTGTATTTAAAGAGTTTATGGGTAAAGGTGATATATGTACGTTCATGACAGAACTCGTAAAGACGAACAGCCTGATTATAATGAGAGATGTTTAAGTGCACTTCACATTGAATAAAAAGAATATAAAGAGTTACTTGATAATTCGTCCTGTTCACTTAAATGGAAGTTATAACAAACAGTAATTCCTATGGTAACTTTATAGATTTCTCTGAATACTAAAAAAGCACAAAATGCGAATTTATTTAATTTATTAATGGTATTACGAATATAATGAGTGTGAAGAGAGTTTCCATATAAAATGATATATGATTTATCATACAGATTCGGGACACACAGATATAGGACATCATTTCAAGGTATTTGTTTTAAAATTATTATTTTTCCAATTCTTTCCCACTTGATCGTTTTTGTTTTTACGTTTCGATACTTGAAATATAAATATGTTAACTTTCCGGTTGTATTAAAGTCTGGGCTATCAGATCTCGACAGAAGCAGTTCTATAAATGCTTTGAAAATCTGTACCTTACTGTTTCGTTCAAAAAATTTTAAAGATGTTCAAGATTTATGTATTCGAAAGAACTTAGATCAATCTTGAAAAATTTATGTTAAAACTTCCCCTTTACACAGTCATCCTCAAATGACTTCCGAGTGACCATGACCTTCACCCTGACCCTTAAAATTATTTAATCCATGTTTATATTGCTGTTTGGTTTCTTTTTTCTGGTACATGTAACCATGATAATAATTTAACTGGTAAAGACGCTCGCGCACCGAATATAAGATATCCGGGTTCGGCTCCCGGCCGAGATAATATATTTCGCAATAAGAATAATTCATTTACAGATTTTAATTTATCACTCAACATTATTAATTCCGATATAAGATGCGTAAGGGGCATTAAAAATTGTTAAATTGCTACTATAATTTAAATCGTGATAATATTACGACGGTTTTGTCGAGTTGCGTTTGAAGACCAAAAAATTGTTCGGTGCACAGTTTAAAAGATTACATACATAGCGTATAAATTCACATGGAATTATCCCAGTCAGAAATAATTCCTCGAAAATACGCCGCGCCGCTTCGACGTTAAGAACAAAAAGTTGTCGATTCGAACATTTGTCGAAATTTTAAAATTATTAAATAATAAAAAATTTGTAATTGAAGAATGCAATGTGTGTGAGAGTTTAATACATTTTTTCAATATTTTTGATGTAAATATGTGATACATAATCTTGTACTTTGCAGATTTTCGTTCAAAGATCGAATTGATATTTATTTCGATCTCTCTGATTTCTACAGTTGTGATATCTCTTTGATCAAGAAGCTTTTATCTCTTAAATTGTTAGGATTTCAGAATGGTTTCATAATTAAAAAATTTTTTTTATTTTTTATTATACAAATTGAAACGTATGATTGTCATAATTGCCGAAAAAGTTTCTCTCTCTCTCTCTCTCTCTCTCCCTCCCTCTCTCTACACCATTTTTCAAATAATTCTTACATATATGTATTCTGCAATTTTCTGAGATTGCTAAGATTTTTTATTTTAATTTCTAACAATACATATCTTTAAACTTCATAGAATGTTATTTCCTTTAGGTAACATTATAGTTGAATCTTATTTTATTGTCCTACACCAGCTGAATAAAATTACCTTTATTTGTACTGCATAGCTTAAGTATTATATAATCTTATTACGTTACTTTTGTAAATGTGTTGAAGGTTTTAGAGCCCAACGTCATCTTTAGAAATCAATTTTGAAAGTATTCTTGCATTTGTTAGTTTTAGATAGCCATACTGAAACAGAGTACGTTTATGTACTCCTTCTTTAATGCAACACACGTTTGTGGTGTATATACCAATGACGCAGATTAATTATCTTTAATTTCGGTTCAACTTGCACTTCATCTTTTTCTTAAAACTACAAGAAGAGTAAGTTGAATTGAGGTTAACAATAATCTACATTAGTGGAAATAGGCATCAAAGTAGCTATTATACTAACAGAACTGAATTCTTTCGCAAACACTAACTAACATTAACTGTCTTTTACTATATATAAGCAAGAAAATAAGAAAGATACCTTTGACTTTAATCCTAACTTGAATCAATATCGAAACGACCTCAATTCTTTAATCAGTGAAATTTAAATGTTGTTCTGTCGCACAAGTTTTAAATATCGTTTTAAAAGTCACACACATACACAATTCAATATTTCATTTCTAACTCAAAAATTAAAGAAATTTGGAGTAAAAAATCTGTCGAAATCAATAGGAATTTCGAAAATTTTTCATTTTTATTTTCGACATTTTTTTGAGGAACTATTTCTGACTGGGATAATAGCACCTATGATCTAGTTCGATCGTTAAAGGCAATTTTTTATTGGTTTCTCTCACATGTACGGTTCTGTAAGCTTTAAAATTTAAATGATAGTATTATACTATGAACTATAATTGTACAATATTATATAACAGGGCGATTAATAAACAGGGCGTTTGGAATTTAAATGTCAAAATGTCTGGAGTGTGTAGGGGATCGATAAATCAAGAGAAAAGGTTCTATAAGATATATAATACTCGCTGTTGTTGCGTTTTGGAGAAAATCATAGAAAAGCAAGAAAATGTTTTGCATTTTGTTTATGGACTTGAAGGTGGACTGTCTTGGGTATTCCGACCATTATTTCTGATGCATAGGATTTCTTTGGGTGAAAGTTTCTAATGTAGGTAGTTAATTCGTTGTCAATCAACTTACGACACCAATTGAAAATCGAAACAAAGCTGCACCAAATATCACAAAGTCAGTACCTGGCGGCGAGACGGGCTGTCCGTACTGAAGCTATGCTAGCATTTCTAAAAATGCCTAAAATGTTAATCAATGTCTACAATAAGCAAATGTATAAATCATGCATAAATGTGTTTTAAAGCAGTAAAATGACAGCTGACTATAGTTTTGCCTCTTTTGTGAGACGAAACAAGAACGAGCATATACTTACAAACCTTTTCGTAGTTTATCGATCCTTCACTCGCTACCGAAGTTTTCACACTTTTAAATTCCGAGCACTCTACAGGAATAATTATTTATTTTTTAGGTTCACACATTTTATTCATGATATCATACTGCGATTAACAATGGTAGATATAATCTCAAATACAATTATGTTTACTCTAAACAAGTGTAAGGAACAAACAACGACGAAAGAAATTGGGAATATGGATGAAATACTTTTACGAGATATAGTTAAATAGATAGATTTCCAGTGGTTATAATTTTTATACGAGGTAACTCCAATGCATATTTTTGTATAAACAGCATTCTTATAAGCGCATATTATTTCATACTAACATAAGTAACCGTTAACGCCTTAATCGAAATCAAATCGATATCGATTGATGTTTCATTCTGCTTCTTTTTTTTATATAGAAGACACTATAAAATAATCTTTAAACAAGAACGGCATTTTACAAACGCTTTATCGAAGAAGTCAATATTTTTTGGAAGATTTAGTAATGAGATATCTGTAAATTATCATCTCAACCTGTCATAAAAATCAACCATTTTCAAACGGAATAATGAAATCAGGATTCGTTAGGCATACTTTAGAAATTTAATTGTGTCATATTATTAAGAACTCACTAAAATTTTATTATATTAAATTTTATTTATTCTTGCACTATTAATGGACTATTATATATATCCAATCGCTGAATTATTACGTCATTATTCAAGGTTTATTTGATGTTACTGTAATATTATACGGACGTTAAAAAATATTTTAACAAACTTCATTGCTAAAAGATTTTTGTTACTGTATTGTGGATACAAGTTGCAGTAATATAAAAATTTCACTTTGGTAATATATGTTACAATAATACTTTGGCGATTTTAAGGAAAAATATTATACAAGCGAATGTATAACATCCATTAAATAGTCTCACAATTTTTAAAAACATAAATTATTACTAATTATAAGAAATAATTTATAATAATTTAGTTTAACCGTTAATTATGTTTATGTGTCATTGTACCACTATTCTGCGTCTATAGGGATTGACTTGTAATGTTGATAAAGAGTTTAAAGTATGAAAAATTACTGCTCGTACTGTTATCTCCTTTTAAATGATTTTAACGTAATGAATCCTTGCATTTACGTCATCGTTTAATTTAATATAATACATTACGGAGGATTAAAGGGTATACGAGTTTCTTGAAATTGAATCGATGCATTGTACTAAAAAACGCTGTAACCCTTTTGCAGTTACTGCGACTGTGGCTTTTCAATGTTGAGACGCGAGCAATTAGACATTGTTTTATATGTGTCACATATACAAAGTTCATGAAGTTGTCGCAATTTTATTTGTATGACCCAAGTTAACATTGATATTTTAATTAGAAACGAGATTGCAATGATGAAACGTTAAACTGTGATTATAAAAAATTGTCATACGATTTTCAAAGTTTTGATTAAGTTGAGACGAAATCGTGCGAAGAATCCAATTTTTATAAACAATCGTCAGTCCATTTTGTGAATCGATGGAAGATAGTGATAAATTGCGTTAAACTGAGTTCTATTCTCGTTTCTTTCGCGTGCCTGCGGTCACGTACCGTGCATTGCACGAACACCTGGGGTTTGATT